CGCGTTGTCTACGAGGCGTTGATAAATCTGCGGGCATTCTTTAGACCAAAAGGCATGCGGCTCCATTCGAATAGTCCAAACGGAGTGATGAATGCTGAGATCTCGCGAGCCTGATCCGTCATGGGCACGACCCAGAAACCGCTAGCCATATCTAGCGAACCGTACCATAGTGCTTTATCAAGATCTTCTAGCAGATCACTGATCAGGGGCATAGGGTAGACCATCAATCTCGTGAGGCTATTCATCAACTTGTAATCAATGCACAACCTGATATCCACACCGTTACTCTTGCGTACAATCACGATCGGTGACGCCCATGGCGATGTCGAGGGTCGGATGATCTCGGCTGCCAGGAGGCCCTTGATCAGGCCTGCGACATTTTCGCGGAATCGCGTGGGCACTTTTCGAGTTCGCAGTGCGATCGGTTTCGCATTTCCAACATCGATATCGCATACGACGCCCTTGGCTGCCGGGGGTAAGGCATTCCCTTTGCCGATCAGCAGATGTCGTTTCTTCCAAATGATCTGCCGGAGCCTCTCGATCTCCTCGGGTGTGAATCTCCCACCTGAAGATCCTCGATGCCGACCTTCGCGGTCGTCGAGATCGGGATTTCGGGGAGGACGGCCAGGTTTCCTTCGAGACCTTCAGCTGAGAGATCACGCTCTCGTGGTAATATATCCCATCCTCGTCCTCGGCGTCCGGTGGGGTGGTCGCTGTTGCTCCTTCCGCCGGTAGGTCTCGTTGTCCGACGCCCTCATTCGGGCAGATCGGGGGTTTTGCGTCGGGTTCTTCGCCGAGATCGAGTTTGATCTGGGCTTGATCGAGTTGGATCTGGGTCTGGCTCGATATCCTTGGTGCCAGTCCGATCGGGGGCCTGGTCCGGCATGCTCTCACTTATCCCGCCACCCTCAGCATCGCCTCTCAGGTATCGATCGGCATCGGGGCTAGTCGTTGGCGTAGATGGGCGTCCTCGTCCCGGATCGGGGAATTCTGCCTCGATCTGAGTTGCGTCGCCCATTCCCGCCCTCCGTCGAGATTCTAGGGTCGGTACCCATGTTCGATCTCTGTCAATCTCGTCGGATTCCGGTCGGCGAAGTATCGATCGTGGCGTGGGATACGATGGTCGTTACACTGCCTGCTCCGCAAAGTCCTCTATAGGTTCAGGGGGTCCGATCTCGTATCCACGGTCGATTCTAGCGCGAGATTCTGCCATTCTCGGTACCGACGTGACCCGACGGACACGAACCCTGGTGATCGTGGTACTTTGTTCTGATCCAGTATCATGCCGACATCCAGGCGGTGGTCTAGCCGCAGGATCCTATCTCCGATGTTCGAGATCATCAGGTAGCGGATCCGACCGGGGCCTTCTGTAACTATTGGTACCCATCGTTCTCCTCTGGTGACCCACAACTTCTCCGGGGCCGACAATTTTATTCTCGCCTCTGTTTCTTCCGACCGACCGACCAGGATTCGTAGAGATCGTTCGAGAGTGACCGATCTCACCTTCTCGCCATACAATCTTTTGCGACCATTAAGCGGTATTCCCACTTCATCAGGTAGTCGCATCGATCCGTCGGCGAGGTCCATACGTACACCGGCTGGGACCATAAAATCGCGTTCTGTCCTGAGAGATCCCCGATCCAGATGTCGAAAAAATACACCAGATATCCCGCTAGAGTGATCTTGATCTTGGTTCTCCCTTCCGTGGTATATACGTTATCACCGATTCCGACACATTCCTGTCTCTGACTAGTGTCAGAATTGCACCCCACCTTACGAGCAAAGGTGGTGTCCAAGATTGATACCTCCGCACCAGTATCTAGGAGGAGGACCGCTCTCTCATGACTGATCCAGCCCGAGATCTTGGCTTGTCGGAACCATTTCCCCGGGGAATGACGTTTCCAATAGCCCCGGGACTCTCCCCTCTTGAGATCTAGGGCCACTTCCGTATTGGATCTACTGAATTCGTTGATCTGTGGAAGACTCGCGATCTTGGCGGTGTACGAATGCAAATTACATGTATTACCGCGTAGATCCGACTCCTTCCTACCTCGATCCTCCGTCGCCTTGTTCACGTAGGCGTAGATGCAATATCTAGAACGCTCGGCTCATGGTTGATCCTTCCTGAGATCTTGGCTTGTCGGAACCATTTCCCCGGGGAATGACGTTTCCAATAGCCCCGGGACTCTCCCCTCTTGAGATCTAGGGCCACTTCCGCTTCTCCATGGGGCATTCACCTGCCTCATGGACGTCTCTGCAACCGCGACACGCGTAAAAACAGCGATCCGTGGGGTGGTGTAACGGGGTTACACAAAACTCTAGCCGCAATTAACCGGTTAGAGTTCAAGGTTTCCTATCTTGGTGTGTGG